TTCCCAACCCTCCTTCTTTCACTGGGCTCCAAATTGCTGCTTCCAGTGGCAATTGCAGGCACTTAAAACTAAATGTGCTAAATGTGTGTCTGCTTTTTGCAGCCTGGGACTGTCCTTATCTCCCCCGTCTCCAGCACGTCCAGCTGAGCCATCCCTTCCAGAACAGGCTCGGTTCCTCCTGCCGGCGCCTGTTCGGCTGCATCAGCTCCTCAGGGAGCTCAACAACCAGACTCAGCTGAAATTATTGAGCCTGAGAGCTGAACGAGACGATCTGCACGGTCCCTTCCAACCCAAACCAGGAAAAAGAATCAGAGAGTCATAAAATGCTTTGGATGGGAAGGGACCCTAAAGATCATCTCATTCCCCAACCCCCAAGTTGTTCCTGCGGTGCTTGCCTGGATAAAAGTCACAGGAAAGGAATAATCACCCATTTTATTTTATTGATTTGTTTATTGTCCTGAAATCTTGGGCCATTGTGAAAGAAACTTGAAGGTAAAAAAATGAGTAAAAAGTACAGAACTGCTTAAATCAGAAGGGACCCCAAAGCAAGTTGAGTCTGAAAACAGGTTGCCAGGAGGGAAAATCCTCACACAGAAGGCTTTGAACCCCCTCCTTCCTTGGAGGAGGAATTAAACAGGGTGATGTTGCAGCAGGAGTGAGAAACAGTTGAGGGTTGGTGGATTCACAAACGGAATGACAAAAATGGGATTTGGGGAAGGTCCTTTTGGCGTCACCTCCTGTGCTGAGGCGTCGGGTGCGTTCGAGCTCGTCAACAGGACCTCCCTCTAATCGAGTCCCCGGGAGCTGGGGCTGTTAATTACAGTGCCTTGTGTCAGGAAAAAAAACCCCATCAATCAAAATGTGAGTGTGCCGAGCAGAGCAAGGGGCACACACGGGCCCGGAGTCAACACCTCTGACTTGTACATTGATGCAATCCTGGTTGCCCAACGACAAATCACTTAATAACTCCAGGGTTAGGTGCATTTTTAATATGTAAGTGTGCCTCAGCCTTCAAAATTCCCTTATAAGCAGATTGGGAAATTCGTTGTTGTCTATTATAGTGCTGAGGAAAAAGTCATAATGGCTTTTCCTGACGGCGTCGAATCGGAAATGCTCAAAACCAGACACAGAAGATAAATATGAATATGAGTGTTTGTGTCAGCATTGCCAAGAGATGCCTAATTCCTTGGACAACCCTTGGGAAGATATAAAAGTTGGCCATGCCTTGTTCCTCCTCCATTCAGCATCAGCTCTCCGCGCTCTTCCTCTTGCTCCAGCAAAGGGTGAGTTGGATTATATTGATTTATCTTCTCCTGAGCAACAGAAGTTCACAGAGGACTAGTTCTGTGTTTAGACCTTGCCTTTGACTTAGAAATTCCTTGGTTTGGGGGATCGGGTTCCTGAACATGTTGGCTACACGAAGGGTGCTCGTGGTTTGCTCATAGATGGGATGATAGAAAAATAGGAGTAATTGAAGGAGCAGATCCACAAAGACACAGAGTCTTCAGGAGCCAGCAAGGAATTCATTCCCAAACTCGCTGGTGATGGAGGGGGAGAGAGCTCAGACGAGTCAGTGCAGTTTGAGAATTAAATTTTACCTTAAGTAGCTTCTTGGCTGGGAAATTCCCATCAGAGCTGGACCATCACGGAGCATCCCCCAAAAGCCAAGGCAGAGTCACTGGCAGGGCCACGACATCCCAGATATTACAAAACACAGCAAGACAACACTTCCCATCCCACTACAGAACAAGAGCCAAGGAAGGCACAGGAGGCCCCCGTGGGTCCCAGCTGTGCCGGGCTGATGGGGTCTCTCTTCCCTCCCAGCGCTCCGGAACGATGTGCTCCCGCAGCTCCTGCCACGACCACGAGTCCTCCTGCCACGGATCCCGCTCTTCCAGCCACAGATCCTGGTTCTCCTGCCTCAGGTCCCGCTCCTCCTGCCACGACTCGGAGTCCTCCTGCCACTACCCCGTCCAGAGGGAGCCGGTGCAGAAATGCAGCTTTGTGACGTCCTGCTGCCCCCCCGGGCAGCGCTACTGCCCCCAGGTCCCCTACTGCCCCCAGGTCCCCTATTGCCCCCAGGTCCCATATTGCCCCCAGGTCCCATATTGCCCCCAGGTCCCCTACTGCCCCCAGGTCCCCTACTGCCCCCAGTACACCAAGAACATCTGTAACCTGCCACCAGCTTGCCCCAAGTATTGACAGGATCCAACCCTGACTCCGGACCCACCGGCTCCTCCCTCGGACACTCCGACCACGGCTCGTCTCCTCCTCCCTGAAATCCTGCCATGTCCCTCCTTGGGATGAAGTGTTCCCCTAATTAGCATTCGTGGTGTCATTCTTTCTAATTATTTGGGAAATGTCCTTTCTAATTATTCAGGGCTTTAATTGCTGTTGGGGATCTTTGCCTGTTGTGCATTTTCTGTTTCGGACTCATCTGGGTGTGGGAAATAATAAATCTGGCAGTTCATGAGACCCTTGTTGTCTTTGAATTTCTTTATTCTCTTTTTCCTTGATTTTTTTTTACATTTTTTTCTGGGTTCTTCTGTCAAATTTCCTCATATTCTCAAAGTATCCCAACAGTTGGTGGCAAATAATTCCCACATTCATTTGGGAATGAATGGAAGACACATTAGGAGAGGGAAAAGTTCTCAACTACCAAAAATCTACATGGGCATAAGGGTTGAGCAGAGCAAAGCTTCTCTTGCTTCCAGGGGTCCACACAAATTTTTGTCCCATCATTGTGAAAAAAAGATCAGAGAATTCAACTTGAATTCAAACTCTGCAACTCCCTGACAGGAGGGGGGAGCCGGGGGGGGGTCGGGCTCTGCTCCCAGGGAACAAGGGACAGTACAAGAGGAAATGGCCTCAAGCTGTGCCAGGGGAGGGTCAGGTTGGACATCAGGAGGAATTTCCCCATGGAAAGGGTGGTCAGGCTTTGGCAGGGGCTGCCCTGGGAGGTGGGGGAGTGCCCAGCCCTGGAGGTGCCCAGGGAAGGACTGGATGTGGCACTGAGTGCTCTGGGCTGGGGACAAGGTGGGGATGGGGCACAGGGGAGACTCGGTGACCTGGGAGGGCTTTTCCAACCTAAATGATCCTGGTATTCTGTGATAGCTTATTAAATAGAAGGGCAATAAGTAGGTCACAGTTGCTCTTTCTCAACATGCAGTAATTTCCTCCAAGCCCAATGCCAGACCTTGGGCAAATCAATATAAATATAAATATTTTCAAATACCTGAACACGTCTGAGCCTCTGAAAACAGAAGCCACAAACTGCCCTGGAAGGCCTGTGAGCAGAGGACGATGAGAACTCTTGAAGGGTCACGTTTTCTTTAACAGGACCCGAATCTGAAAGCTCCAGAGATGCCTTTTGAGTGGGTGTAACCAACAGCACCCCATTTTTGGAAGGCTGTTGACCAGGTAGAAAGATTTTGGAGGAACACCAGTGTGATGCTCCAGGACAAAGCCTGGAGGAAGGAACTGTCACACCAGCCCCGATTTTGGTGGCTGGGCAAGTGCAGGTTTTGGGTTGGGACCCACAACTGAGTCACAAAATGTCCCTGAGGAATCAGGGCCATCCTCCCTTGCTGCACAGAACTCACCACAAGCAATTGTGTTGCCTCTGGCCTGAAGAAAAGCTGCAGGACACCCACACTTTGGGAGGATCTTCTCCTCCTCAGTCAATAAATTGCTCTAATGGGCAACATTTCCTCAAGTTGATGAGTTTATTTTTCTTGGGCTTCAAAATCTGGGTCAAATGGGGTTATAAATTCAGCTTTAGTGACAGAACCCAAAATTTGCTCAAACTTTGGCTCTCTTTCTCTGAATCCTCTGCTTTCCACACTCCTCTGCAGGTGAGGTCAGGTGGAAAAAAAGCTTAAAAATATCAGTGAAGGAAAGAGAAACCGAGGAATGGGAAAACTTAATACACTCCTACCTTGCACAGAGCTCATCGTCAGCTGTTTTTCTCTGATCTTAATAACCTTTGATTCACGTGGAATGATCTGATGGGATCATCCCAATCATCTGCCAACTCAAGGAACACGTGAAGAACCAGAAACATTTTCTTTTTTGCCACACCAGGGAACCGAGGAGATCCCTCCGGATTTTCCAGCTTTGTGCCATGCCCAGGAGTTGCAGTTGATAATCCCATTTCCTCTTGGCATTTCAGCAACAGGCAAATTAAAGTCCTGAGCTGTCACCTGCACCCAACGGGAGACCTTCCCCAGGAGTCAGCATTTCTGGGCCCTTTCTGTCACTGATGCAATCCCAGTTATTCCCTGGCCAGCTAATTAACACCCGTCAGATTAGTGTCAGTCTCCAGGAAACGGGAGAGAAGTGCCTTCGAAAATCCCTGCGTTGGGAATTACTGTGGGATGGAACACAGTGTGTCAAAGAGGAAACACTAAAAATAGGGATTGAGAGCGGAAATAATTAAACTGTCATTGCACAGGGGTGTCTCATATCCCAGATAACCTTTGGAGGGTATAAAAGGTCGCTCAGCCCAGTCCTCCTCAGTCGCTCGCCTTCACTTCCAGAAACTTCTCGCTGCAGCTGAAGAGGGTAAGACCAATTTTACTATTTCTGCTCTTGCTGAGAGAGAAGAAAACTCCACAAGAGGTTTTTATGGACCTCCTGGGAGCTGGGACTTGGTTAAGTTCCTCCTTGTGCCCCTGAGGAAGAGGGAATGGCAGGTGGAGGGATGGGGATCACCGGGAAGGGGCAGCAAAGGCACTCGAAGGGATCCTCGGGTGGCACAAACTCTGAGCTCTTTCACAAGGGAGGTGGGTTTGGAAATGGGCTCACGGGGCTCCAGTTGGTTTGTAGGGACCTGATTCCACACAGCAGCTCCCAGAGCACGCCCAGGAGATCCATTGGGGTTGTTGGGTCTGGATTAGGCAGGAAAAAAGAAAGAGAAGCTGGAGACTCAAGACTGGAGATGTAGAGAAAAATATTATTAAAAAGGGGGAGAATACAAGGAGTGAACCGGGGTCTCCTCTCACCACGTTGATCTCTTGCTCCACACAGCTCTGCTGATACTCCAGAAGATGTGCTCCCGGGGGTCCTGCCATGACTACGAGTCCTCCTGCCACGGATCCAGATCTTCCTGCCACAGATCCCGCTCCTGCCACGACTCGGGGCCCTCCTGCCACTACACCATCCAGAGGCAGCCTGTGCAGAAGTTCAGCTACGTGACCCCCTGTTGCCCCCCCGTGCAGCGTTATTGCTCCCCCCTGCAGAGTTATTGCCCCCCCGTGCAGCGCTATTGCCCCCCGGCCCCCTACTGCCCCCAGTACACCAAGAACATCTGCAAGATGCCACCAATGTACCCCAAGTACTGAGGAAGGATCCGACCCCGGCACCCGGATGCGCCGCCTCGTTCCTCGCCCAAGGCCTCAAGCTCAGCACCATGCTCATGGCTTTCCAGCCTTTCTCCAGCCTTCTCTCCAGGCAAACAGTCCTAAGAAGGGTTGGGGGTGACACCATTTTGGGGTGAAGCCTCTTGGCCTCATGAGTTGTGAGCTGTTTGTCCCCTCTCCGCTGGGAACAGTTTCCTCCTTGCTTTGCTGCTTCGCTCTCCAGCAAGACAATAAAAATGGTGTTTCAAGCCAACCGAGCAGTTCTGGGTGTTTTAGTCACCACTCTGTCACACAGGCTGGATCGATGGGCCAAGGTATGAGTTTAACAAGGCCAAGTTTCGAGTTCTCCACTGGGATCACAACAACCCCCTGGGAAGCTCCAGGGAACAAGGGACAGGAGGAGGGAAAACGGCCTCAAGCTGTGCCAGGGGAGGCTCAGGTTGGACATCAGGAGGAATTTCCTCCTGGAAAGGATGGTGAGGCCTTGGCCTGGGCTGCCCAGGGAGGTGGGGGAGTGCCCAGCAGCCCTGGAGGTGCCCAGGGAAGGACTGGCCGTGGCACTGAGTGCTCTGGGCTGGGGACAAGGTGGGGATGGGGCACAGGGTGGGCTGGATGATCCTGGAGGTCTTTTCCAACCTCAGCAGTCCTGGGATTCTGTGCTTGTCTGGTGGCATCTATGTTTTCTTGTGGGTTTGGAGCTGTGCTTTAATCCCTGGTGAAAGCAGCTCAAGTAGGAGGAATGCCAAGGACACATGAAAGCCATGGGAAATGCCTGCAGCTCCCAGCAGTGATTCCAGGAGCACCTCACACAGAGGGCTGGGAGGGTTAATTGGAAACAAATCCCTGCACTGAGCTCAGCACGTGTTGGGGGGTTTGGATTTCCAGCCAGGGGCCTGACCTGTGGATTCATGTTTTCCTTGCATGTTCCTGCTTTCCTACGGCTGCCTTTGGAAGCAAAACAAAGCAAATCCTGCAGGGTTTGCAGCTTGCCTTGGAACACCCTCAATTAAACAATTTCTCCACTGTAAAATAAGGGAAGGTTTCCCTGGGGTGACTCATCCACTCATCCCAGGCGTGGGAAACAGGCTGGAATGAGTTGAGCTCTGCAATGCCCAGTAAATGAGCAGTTGGTCTGTAAGGAATGGGAATTCCCTATTTACAGGTTATGGAGAAAATCGTCATTATAGAGGAACAGGCTGAAAAGGAAAAGTGGCCAATGGGATGCAGAGAGCAATTAATTACTCACCTGCACATGGGTTGTCTCCTTGCCAAGAGGTGGCTCATCTTCACACGACCCTTGGCAGCTGCGCTAAAAACTCAGTTTCTGACTCATTCTTGCCCTCCCTGCAGGTGGGTTTTGAGGTGGGGGAGCTCTGTGTCCACAGCAGTGGGTTTGTCTTCAAGCTGAGACTTTCTCTTGCTGCCCCAGGACTCCAACTTTCTCCTCTGTGACTGACCACGGAACATTTCTGTGCCTTGGAGTGAGTCCAGAGGAGGCCACGACGTTGGTGAAGGGACTGGAGCCCCTCCCCTATGGAGACAGGCTGGGAGTGTTGGGAGTGTTCAGCCTGGAGAGGAGAGCACTCTAAACAGCCTAAAGGGACGTTTCTGCTCTGCTTAATATGTGTTAAATAACGTAACAGCAGATTTTCACAACCAGGATAAACTGCGGGAATCCCCGAAGGATTAATGAGGAGGAATTTGTTTCCCAGCAAGGGTTGCTTCACTGCATCCATAGTTCTCCAATCCAAACAGAGAGAGGGGTGTTACTCTACTCCTGGCACCTTATGGAGCCTCCTAAATCCCTTCACTCCATGCAAAATTTAATTGGGAATTTTTTATGTCTCTAGGTTGAATCTTTTGTGAAATCGGTGATGGGTCTCCCCATGGGATCCCTGCAGATCCATCTCACAGAGCTTCAGACACTTTTGATACTCACATCCAGCTCTAGCAGTGGGGGTTTTGGCTCTCTGGATAAAGCAATGCACCAAATCCATACAAAGTCACACATAAAACTGCCTTATTTTCACCAACATCTCTTACTTTACCTCCCTGCTCAGGGTTCCCCATATTTCCAGTGTTGGATTCTCCTGGAATTTCTCTGCAGGCTCAGGAATCCCCTTGGCTGTTTGAAGAGGTGCAGGTACTCAGCTGGTGTATAAATCTCAATCTCTAATTAGATGATAATGTGTGGCAGTGACCTGGTCTCACCTGCTCAGTAGCATGAGGCTGAGCTCAATTTAGCCCATGTTTTAGTGAGCAGGAACATTGCCCTTGGAAAGACCTTGCCTGGAGAAGTGGTGACTTCATGGCCCTCTGAACCCCTCGAAGCAAGAGCAGCTCCTCCAAGCTGCAATACAGCCAAGTTTGAACAGAAGTTGCCCAACAGAACTGGGTGAAAACAGAGGCTTTGTGTCCCCAGAAGTCAAACAGGAGGTTCATGATGACCTATCGTCCTCAGCATCCAAGATTTTAGTCCTGGCTGAGCAAACACAGCCTAAATCTTCACTCCTTCACCTCAGCAGAACTCAGGGTGTCTCCAGAGAAGCTGTAGGACACAGGGGAGGGTGGCCAAGCAGCAGGATCAGCCCTTCTCCTCGGGGTGACCTCAGACACAAAACCTTCCATCACGTCAGTCACGGTCCCGAGTCCCCTGAATTTCCTCTGACAGCAGAGAGATAATATTTTATAAAGATGTGGTTTAATTTGAAATCCTCGAGGTGCTCAGGACATCCCATGGAGCCTTCGTGCAAAGCAGATATTAACGTCCGTCATTAATGAATAATCACAGGGTGATCATTATCATCAGCACTAATGGCCGTCCACGGGTGACTGAGAGGTGAGCACAGAGTTATTCCAGAAATCACACCCGTAGGTGGATCTTCCATTACTCGAGGGCAAAGTGGAATTTGAAAAGAATTGAATAGGAATTTTGCAGATCGAGTTGTGCTGAGCATAAACAGGATGCAAAACTTCCAGAGGGGTTTTGCATTTGGCTTTGATTTGAATACGTCAAAAAGGAGTTGGAAAAATACGGACCCCGACTCAACCCGAACTCCGGATTTCCACGGGGAATTTGCACAGTCCTGGGCACCTGAATTGTCTTGGCAATGATGTTGGCAAGGCCTTGAGCTGCCAGAGCTCAGGGGGTGTTTGGGCATGGTGGGATTGGTGGGGCTGTGCAGGGCCAGGAGTTGGACTTTGACAATCCTTGTGGGTCCCTTCCAATGCAGGACATTCCATGATTCCATGATTCTATTCCAAGGCCAAGTGTTGTCCCATGCACGGATGGGATGAGGCAGAGAGGGGCGAGATCTCAAGAACTTTCTGTTCCCTATTTGTCCTTCTGATGACCAGAGACCCCACTGGGCTTCACCATTTCTTCATTCAGACACAAAACACGAGGCCATGGAATTAATTTTCCTGGAATTCTATTCTAAAAATCATATCAAGGAGCAACTGACATCCAGAAGCCTCTGGAATCCACTGCACCTCAATCTTAATGAGGATTTTGATGTTAATTAAGCTCTCTCCAGCTGAACAAGCCACGGAGGATCTCAATGTAGCAGCTTTACCATATGCAAAATGAGCAGAAAAAAAACCCTTTAAAGAATCCCACAAGAATTAACTTGACATTAAAAAACTGTAAAAAATTCACACAACAAATTGATAATGACACAAAATTGAGGTCTTGGTCAAAACCCACGAGGCAAAGACTAAACAGCTGAAGGCCCATGGGGTGAATAAGTGCAGGCTGAGTGCGTAAATCCCGAATTGCTGGGGGGTACCTCATGTCCGGCAGGACAAGCCCGAGCTAAATAAAAGGTCTCCAGGTCCCTTTGCTCCTCACACAACTTCACCTCTCAGCTGCTACGGTAAGTGGTACCTATTAGCAGTGGTGGTGATGGTTTGGGGTTTGGTCAATGGAAATGTGTCTTTGTGTTTGATCTTTGCAGGGCGTTGGACTGGATTGACCTTTAGAGGTCCCTTCCAACCCAAACTGTTCTATGATTCCATGATCTGCAGCTCTCTAGGAAATCCAGACCTTTTGAGCCTGGATTTGGTCTATTGTGTCTTGCAAAAAGTAGGGAGGGCAGAGTGGAAAATGAGCTTCTTGGGGTGCAAGTTCAGGGAGTGATCTTCAGGGAGGAGGGAAGTTGGATGAAATCTCTCTGGGATAGTGACAGGTGGCTTGATTTCTGTAAGGATCTTTCTTGGCAACTCAAGGAACTTTGGCACCTCAAGGAAGGAGGGTGGGACGTGGGTACCACCCACAGCTTGAGGCAGCAGCACTTCTATGCCAAAATAAACACTAGACTTGGAAAGATGGGTCATGTCTGAAAGTCCATTGTGTTTCAGGTCCTCGCTCCGTCCACCCTCAACCACACTCCCAACAACATGTGCTCCACTGGATGTTGCTCCACAGGATGCTGCTCCGTCATGAAGACCAAGACCGTGTGCTGCAGCCCCTGCCAGAAAACCGTGTGCTGCGAGAAGACCGTGTGCTGCAGCCCCTGCCAGCAGTCCTGCTGCTGCGACCCGTGCCAGAAGACAGTGTGCTGTGACCCGTGCCAGAAGACAGTGTGCTGTGACCCGTGCCAGTCTGTGTGCTGTGACCCCTGCCAGAAGACCGTGTGCTGTGAGCCCTGCTGTGACCCATGCCAGACTGTGTGCTGTGACCCATGCCAGAAGCCCTGCTGTGACCCGTGCCAGTCTGTGTGCTGTGACCCTTGCCAGAAGCCCTGCTGTGATCCATGCCAGACTGTGTGTTGTGACCCATGCCAGAAGCCCTGCTGTGATCCATGCCAGACTGTGTGTTGTGACCCATGCCAGAAGCCCTGCTGTGACCC